AGTCTTGTGTTCAGCTTTGTGGATTGTGTGGTTATTGTCCAATTCCACTACAGAAACAATAAACTATGTGATTAAACTCACTATGACTTGGGATATCATCGCAGAATGCAATGAACGTGCAGTGTAACGCAACCTGACGTGGCGAATAAAAATTAAAACCAGAGCAAAATAACAGCATAATCTAGTTGTTTAATGAAAATTACATTGTGAAATGACAAATTCTATGATTACTTGAGCGCGCAGATGACCGTTATTACATTGGGCGATACATTAAGCTCACATGATTGCGTTGCGGATAATATCACCCCTATGTAGAACGAAGACGAAATTAGTAAAGAAACGTATCCCTAAGGCTAGGTAAACACCAAATGGAACCAGCATTGCACAAGCCAGTCTATGGCATATGATCAATTAACTTACGTTTGCTATTTTTTATTTCAACACTATTCAATTTACTGTATAACGATCAAGTATCTATTTCAGCTTTATGGATAATTTCGCCGTTACTTGATGACGATTTTCTGGCCTACGAGCGCATTGACCTCACATAAATCAAGTTTTGCGGAATTTCTTGAGTTTTTGTCATAATGCACTATTTTTTACGAAGTAGTCGAACAACAAGTTTGTTCGGTACAGCAATCGTTTCTTTACTCAGGGAAGCACAGCAGTCCATATCGGCGGATGTGTTTTGCTCTAAATGCTTTTTCGTTTGCTCTGTGGTGTTTTTGAAATGCTTGTCGTTTACATATGCCAAGAGTGTTATTATTGCGGAAAGTATCATCCTAAAGTTATTTGCGTTTTTCAGACTTTTGCTGTGTCGTAGGACACGAAGGTAACACTTGAACTGAAGGATCTATTCTGTGCCTACAGTTAAGTAGATAACTTCTCTTTTTGACTTTTATTCGAATTAGTAATTAACCGCGGTTTCGCCTCAGCTTATCATCCGGTTTTTAAAGTTTTTCACGTTTAGAGGCCAGTTTTAGTATTTTTAAGTATTTGTAATGTCCGCTTTAAATAAATTACTCTTTTAACCTGTAAACTATTTCAATTTTGTTAAAAGCTTACATTTCAGCGTCGTCACTAAAACCATGTGTAAGCAACCTGATGTCCTTTTGGCGTCAACTGTGTTATGCAATGTGACGGATCAGTTAGTAAAAATGTAGAACTTCAAACGTACGTACATCAGTTAGAGTTATCATACCATGTTAACACAGGGACGAAGTTTTCGATTCAAATCCCATAGTGGCAGATGTAGTAAGGGTAAAAGCAGTAATCGGTAACGTTAGGGCTTGAAGATGTTATTCAAAGAGTATAATCCAGTGAAATAAATCTGGAACGAGAAAAAATAAACCCAATCTGCCAACTTTGGGTAAAATTTGGTCCATTTTGGAGAAGCCGCTATAGTAAATTTGGGGGAAACAAGACTAAAAACCCTCACATACATTTAAAGGTACGTGAGGAATTCAGGAGATTAGAATTTAGAAGAATACAAAGAATGGATGCGCACGGGCCAAGGCAAATGATTTTGAGCCATGTCATTCAGGGTCTCTAACCATCGGTTGCTGTCATCTCGCGGTCCCCAACCAGGTAGTCTACACCTACCAACATGACTCAGTTCACTTGTCAGTGACTTCATGGACTTGTGCCATGTTTTGGTTTGGCCGCCCCTAGCTTTCTTCCAACCTACTCCTATACCACTGAACATAGCACGTCGAGGCAGTCGGTCGTTGGGCATACGTAACACGTGTCCCAGCCATCTCAACTGATGAAGTTTCACTACTTCATCAATTGATTTGCCATCCTTACCTAGTACCCGTTTCCTAACAACTGTGTTACTTACTCGATGGTCCCATGATATACGAGCAATGTTTCGAAGACACCTATGATCAAATACTAGTAACCTACGGATATCCTCTACTCTTACCGGCCATGTTTCACTGCCATAAAGTAGGACGGAACGAACTGCTGCGCAGTAAACACGTCCTTTGGTTGATAGACGGATATCTCGCCTACGCCATAAATGACGCAAGTTGGCAAAAGCTAGTCGAGCCTTCTGTATCCGTGCTGAGATTTCGTCACACACTAAACCACAAGGGCTGATGAGACTTCCAAGATAAGTGAAGCGGTCGACACACTCAACTACTTCACTCCCTATCACTAGTTCGGGTGTCGATGTAACCCAATCCTGAAGCAACATTTTGCATTTCGAGGGAGAGAATCGCATCCCGAACATGCTTGCATTGTTGCTTAGAGTGGTCAGAAGACTCTGCATTTTGTCAGCGTCTTCACCAAATAAAACTATGTCATCAGCATATTCTAAGTCAACAAGTGAACCTCCCGGTAGAAGTTCAACCCCTGGAAATTTAGATGAGGAGAGTGTTATCTCTAAAAGTACGTCAACGACAAAGTTGAACAAGAATGGGGAGAGTGGACAGCCCTGACGAACACCACTTGAGGTAATCAATTCTGATGACAGTTCGCCATAAGCTCTCACTCTACCAGTTGTGTTCGAGTAGAGAGCCTTTATAAGGTTAATGTACTTCTTTGGTACTCCTTTCAGTGACAAACACTGCCATAGAACCTCACGATCAACAGAGTCGAATGCCGCCTTAAGGTCGAGAAATACTACCATTGTGGGGCGTCTGAATGTGTGTCTGTGTTCTAGAACCTGACGTAGTGTGAATATCTGATCTATACAACCACGTCCAGGTCGAAAACCAGCCTGGTTTTCTCTAGTCTGCTCTTCACGAGCTTTAGTTAGGCGTCGAAGTATTATTGAAGCTAATATTTTAGACACTATATTAGTCAAACTGATTCCTCTGTGATTGTCACAAGAGGACTTTTGTCCTTTCTTAAAAACTGGCACAATCAGTGATTGAGACCAGTCAGATGGGATTACGTCCAGTTCCCAAATTCTACCTAAGACCTCAGTTAATCTCATTGCTAATACTGGACCACCATCCTTAAAAATCTCAGGAGTAAACCTGTCAGGGCCTGCTGCTCTCCCTCGTTTCAGATTTCCTATGGCTTTTTCAACTTCGTAAAGGGACGGAGGACCTACATTAACTTGCCATTCAGGTTGACTGGAGATCGTGGGAAACCGAAGTGTGGCTGAAGGCCAGTTGAACTGATCCCTAAAGTGTTCTGCCCATCGATCCAATCTCCTGGATTGAGAATGAATAATATGTCCATCTTTCTCTGAGATTGTTTCGCTAACGGTCGGGTTCCTAATTCCGGTTTCCTTAACGAGTCTGAACAATTGTCTGCTATTACCTATTGCCGCTGCCTTTTCCATCTCTCTTGCTTTCGCTACCCACCACTGTTCGCGATCATTGCGTAGACTTCTTGTCAGCTTGCGCTTAAGCTGACTCCGCTCTTCATTATGTTCAGAGCCAGGTGGAATGAGTTTCCGAGCATCTATCAGTGCGATAGATGCTGCTGAGATCCAGTGTTGCTCCCTAACCTTCTGGTTTACCTTACTAGCAGATATCACTGCTGTTTCCACAGCTTTTCGGATATCATTCCATGCTGCATCGGGGTGGGCATCACATACATGGCTGCCTAACTGTTTTCCTAGTTGTTCCTGAAATATACTCTTAGCTTGACTATCATTAAGTAGGCCCTAAGAGGTTTCCTTGCAGCGTCTTTCCTACGTCCAGTAAGACGCAAGCAAATACGCGCTCGCACTAGAGCATGATCTGAATCTAGGCATGTGCTCCAGAATGAGCGACAGTCTTCTATCGAGCCCCTCCATCGGTGGCTGATAGCGATGTGATCTATTTGGGTCCAACGTTGGGACGAATTAGGGGGTCGCCATGTTAAAAGATGTTTTTCCTTATGCTTAAAGTTAGTATTTGCAAGGAACAGGCGGTTATCTGAGCATAGCTGCAACAGACGGTCGCCATTATCTGTTCTTTGAGCCACGACACCATAAGATCCACCTAGGTGTCTTTCCCTATCGCTTAGTTTACCTACTTGAGCATTAAAGTCACCGGCCACTATTACTACATCCGAGCGCTAGCTTTTCGGAGAAGGTCCGAAAGCTTTCTGTAAAACTCATCTTTTACATCATCTGAGCTGCAGTCAGTGGGAGAATAGGCAGAGACGACGAAGAGGCAACGACGAGTGTCCCTATCTTTCCGGATTCTTACTGTTCCGTTCAGTCGGACAGCGCACAAACGACTGTCTACTGGGATCCACTCTAAGAGAGCTAGTTCTGCCCTAGGACTCAATGCTATACCTACGCCGGCGAGGCCACGGGAAGCAGAATCAGGGCTTCCAGATACACGAAGCGTAAATCGAGTCGGTTCTTTATTTTGGCATGGTGAGGTCAAATGAATGACGCTACTCGGATCCTGTATGCGCGTTTCGGAGACGCAGCACACATCGATGGCGCGAGATTCTAAAGTTTTAGCTAAGGAAGCCTGCTGTCCTATTTGGCAAAGTGTTCGTACGTTAAAAGCTCCTACGTGTAGTTTAGAGCGTGGTTTCAGGAGACCAGGAATGGCGTTCCACGTACTCGAATCGTTTGCCCTAGCGGTGCGAGGTGATAAAGAGACGTGAGGAGGGTTAGTCATGGAGATAAGAGAGGTATTAGGAGGTGTAGGAAGGATTTGAATGTGACCACCTTGGTCTCTTGTGCTGTTACGGGTATGAGGGCTGATGTCACTTCCCGGCTGCCCACACCGTGGAAGGGTATTTCTTGAGGAACCTGAAAAGGAAATTGGATTAGTGTTGGTCTTGACGACCTGGGAGCGTGACCGCAGAGCCCAAGGGACAACTGCTTGAGGCCGGTCGCGCACGGCCTTTTTGTGGAAGGTTTTTGACGTGTTAGCTCCGTTCTTCAAAGGGCCTTACCGCCGGAGACGGAAATCCGTGAGGTAAGGTGAGGTGTGACATTTTTAGGGTCGACCTTTTCTAACCCCACCCCTCCTTGTGGGAAGGCAGCATCGCTGTCATGCTGGTTGTCCGAGGGAAACACCTTACTGCTGTCACACCTCTCTACAGTCAGCAGTACGACTTCGCCCTCAGACCTTGAGTTGCTGCTTTTAGTCTTACCGTTCACCAATCGACCTGCCTGGCATGGTAGAACCTACAGGAACATATGTTCCAGCCAATATAGCTCGGTTGGGTCATCACGATAGGCAAGCCCGACCACCGCGTCAAGGTAGCAGCTTCGGTCGGGATTATCCGACTACTTAACAAAAAGCACGAAAATCCGGAACGTAATTCAGATCTCAAACAATATTAACTCCAGCCTCAACGTACTTAAAGACTTGTAAAATCTATCGATTCTTGTTCCTTAATAATTATGAACCCTAAAGACCGCTCTGACCTTCCTTTCATTCTTCTGGTTGAAAATGGCAGGATGTATTGGGAATAATTAAACAGGAAGCACAGGTTTCCCAAAATTGAACCACTGGTGATTTTCAGGCTTACCCGGGGGAAAGACACAGGACACTCAATTCATCCAAGACTCTATATGACATTCAGTTACACTGCTGACTTGGAGGATGTTTTGCTGGCCAGTCACTTGCTGTAATCAAAAGATGTCAGGATAATGTCTGACATACCATATTCTGAGCACTATCTCATTAAAAACATCCAAAGGAATCTCATGAGGCGTTCTTAGGCGGAAGAAACATCATTGTGCAAGGTGTCCCAGAAAATATGGGCCCTGATAATGCTGTTAACGATATTCAAGATTGGATGTTCATAAAGCTTAAGGACATATTGACCCGAAAAGTAGTACGATTAGCCAAGAAATGCGAGGATCCTAGACCACGGCCAATGGTGATAACTTCCCTATCTCCCTAAATGCTTTGGCGATAGTCTCACCTGCAATTCAACAGGAGTTTCGAAAGTGTACCTAATTGGCGGATTGGTGTATCAGCTGCAGCATCTAGGCAAGAACACTGCCTGGCTCGGGTGTATTTCACTCTACTATGTTGACAGAAGCGGCTTCAACCTTAACAAAACCGCTTAGCGTGATGCTCTCACATTCGCTAAGCCGAGGCAGGGTCTCAGAAAACTGAAAGTTGGCACACATCGCACCAATTTTCAAAGTTGGCTGATGCTATGAACCTTCAAGCTACCGACCGGTAACACTTCTCTCAGTACCCTTAGAAGTTATGGAGTCCTTGATAGATGACGGTTCACGTGACTGATTCTTATTCGCGAACTCCTTTTCACTATAACAAAACTTTTAGAGAGGCTCACTCCTGTATAACTAACATCCTGACTGCGGTGGACGGGTCGAAAACCGTCTTTGCTTGCGAGAGAAAGACTCGTGTCATATAACTTGATCCCTTAAAGGCATTTGATAGGGCCAATCATATGTCTCTTCAATAAGCTCAAAGTGTTACATATCAAGTTGCCATCAATAAACTGGTTCATACATAATATCTAAGTAATCAGGTTTCTAAGGTTAGAGTCAACTTCACTTTTTCTCAAACTACAGAATGTCCTAGTGGTATCCCCAGGGCTTAGTACTAGAACTTATCTCTTTATATACATGACTTCCTCTGTATCTTCTGAGTTACTGATTCAAACAGATGATGTTAAACTGTGGAGAAAAGTTTTAAACCAAGATGATAAGCTGGCACTTCTGGAAGATCTAACTTAGCTTTGAAGTTTGGCGGATAACAACGGATTTATTTTCAACACTTCAAAGTATGAAGTAGTTCTCTTGAGACTTGTTGCAGACTTCGCATACAGCTTAATTAATTCCCCTTTAGAGGTGTCCAAAGTTGAGAAACATCTAATAGTCTTGCTATCTTATATTCTAAAGTCTTACTCTAATTGAGACAAAAATGCCTTTCGAGCAAAACTTGCACTGGTTACGTTGAAGTCCTTTTTTGGCCAGTCTGGCAATAAAATGTCCCACCTAATCTTCAAGTTCTATTCTGCTTCATTTAGAGTATGGAAAGTAGTTTCCCCTCGCTCCAAAGGGGTAAAAATGTACAAAAACGCACCCAGAAATCAGTTCAGTAACTCAACTTCTAGCCTTACGAAGAGCGCTTCAATTCACTAAGTGTCTACTCATTAGAGTATATAAGTCTCTGATGTAACCTACTGACTTATATGTCTGGTATATATATATATATATATATATATATATATATATATATATATATATATATATATATATATATATATATATATATATATATATATATATATTCCAATTACTCCTGGGAACCATCAAATACTTGTTTAAGCTCAGCCCCAACACAAACACTAAAATTACAGACACAGCATAGCAGAATGGACTGCAGGGACACCTACTCTAGGAGTAGTGAAATTCTGGGATTCGCTGCTAGCTGGGGTAGTCCAAGCCACATCCCGGGAGTCCTCCAAGAGGAAACTTGACATATTTTTAAGGACTGATAATAGTATTTCACTATAATTTACAAACATTTCCCTTTTGTTTGTTACATATATCTAGGTTCCCAACTGGAGGCATCGGGGACCCACTGCTACTAAATACAGAAACTCGTTAAGTGGAAGCTTCTATCCCGTCCACAACCATTCGAGTGGGACTTCAGAAATGTCAACAAAAGTTTTTTCTAAGTTCAGTGTTTTCCATATTTTTTTTTGTCTCTCGTACCAAGATTTGACTCAGTGTTTTTTTTATGACGTTTGTTATCATAATATGCCCATCTTTTTTATTAAAAGTCATTACTTCTCGATATATCAAACTGAATATAACCAATGCAGTCGAATGACTAAACGAAGACCAAACAGCTGTTACCAAAGAGAAATCAATCTATTTATATAAGATTGTCACAGAAATATTAGCATAAATATGAGTTGTTTATTTCTAACTTAAATTACTGGTGTTACCAGTTAAGGTTCGTTAGTTGTCCACATACTCGCTTCCGAGTATCCTTTTCAACTGTTACTTATGAAGTACTAGAAAAACATGAAGATTTGTCTTTTGTTGTTCTCTATAGTCTCATGGTTGATCCATTACCGTCTACAAGTCAAACACAACCCAGTAAGCCTTTTTCAGTGAACATTAGAGATTCTTTTGAAAAGATAATGAGACCCCGGCACCTAACATCCTGGAATCAAGTTGAAGAGGCCATAGACCTTTTGCAGAAAGTTTGTTCCATAAATATTGGCTAACATACATAGATGACCTATACACACTATGTAGTTAGAGAAAGCAAATTAAATAAAGAAGAGCCTGGACTCCATTACCACTATGTCGTGTATGTGTGCACTTTTGGCCACAAAAGAAAGCCTGAAGGTACTGGGCAAAGAGTTAAAGGGTAACTGGCTGTTATTATACTAATAGCTTTTTAGATCAAAATTCACTGGCTGTAAATCCATGTTTAGAATCAGATATGAGCATAACAGATATATAATACCGGCTTCTAAAACAGTACACAACCATCCGTGCGACAGGGAATATTTAACAAACGACCCTTGGTCCAGAAAGCTCAGACAAGACCAGTTGCAAGTTTTAACCCCGATGATCACAGTTGGTTCAGAACCAAATGAAATAATTAAGTATGTTGATGAAACCTTCAACAAAACCATCACGTTCAACGATTATAAAAATCTCCGACACAAAGTTGCTAAAAGTAAGTTTCCTTATAGTTAAAGATTGTCAGGTTGTAGAATTCAAAAGGATGGTCTTACAAAGGTAGATTGTTTGACAGCCCTATGGATGTCACGATGTCAGTCAAATTTCCAGAGTATGCTTTATTAAATTATATGTGTAAATTGTAAATGTATAAGTGGTTTCTTGAGATAATTGTTATCGATTCCACATATACGAAAAAAAAGTAAAAAGATCCCATTTGATAACAATTATTTGTTTCAATTAGTTATTACATAACAATGGTCACGTATACTATATCCTTATATGCAATCTTTCTTTTATATATTACCACCTCTGAATTAACTGCTTTTATTAATCCGGTATCCATCTTGTTGTGTTAATGAGGTATGGCAACTTGGACCAATGCATATATGTGCCTGGTTTTACGTTGTAGCTGACTAACTGACTGATGGTCACGTATATTCAGTTAGTGTTGCTCAATCTAAACTTGATGAAAACCTACGAATAAATCTAGACTCATCATGACAGAAGCAATAACAATTAAAGCATTTCCAATATACTTTGTTGGATGTATAAACCAAGGAGTATTGATAACACATCGTAGACTAAACGTTTCTGTAGAAAAGTTGTTTTCTGCGGGATAGGGTTGCTTATCCCATACCCAACCCTCCTTCATCGAGGCTTAAGACTAGCAGTATCCCTAGAAGGGCTACAGGCGAAGGTACAAGTCTTCTCTAAGAAACCTTGTTTGCAATCTCACAACCATTAAACAATATTGCGTTGGGATTTTTGCAGTCATTAACCATAATTTTCCTGTTGATAATTTCGGCAGCATATCCAACATTTCCATTAGGGACGAGTTACTATTTATGTTGTCTTCGATGCAAAATCTTTTCAATCACCACTCATACTGTTACTACTTCGACTGTTCCGGGATTCGGCAACTTCAGTCAATATACACACGTACCAGGTTTTACACTATAAACTAACTGACTGGATTAACACTCGTCACCAGGGGTCGTTTATCACTGTCGTATAGGTAGTTTTCCTCGTGTAGTAAGCTCGAATGAGTTATTCTTTTAGCTGATTCCAAACGAGTATATAAATAGTGTCGTTCGTCCTAACTTTCGGTAGTATAAACACCAGCTTATCACACACAAATACAGCATAATAATACCGAGATTTATGTTTTGTTTCATTCACTTTGCTTTCTTTACTACAAAAAATATGGAATTCATCTGTCAACAAGTATATTTGGTATAAGTTAAATTCTTTTCTCAAGCTAATACTTGGTTCACTAGTATTTTTCTTCCCATTTCAGATAATCAAAAAAAAGAAACTAGATAATCTATCGCTGATGTACATACTCTGTAAATTTAATAATTAAATTATAAATTTTAATTTCAAATCGATGTATCCTGTGTGCTTACATCATAATTCGTTCTCTTATATATAAATACTGACGGGTTTGTGACATGTATACACCTAATCAATCAGGTATTTGTAAAGGAAACTAAACAGACATATACATCCAAACATAATCTAAGTACTAGGATTTTATTTACGCCTGTGTCGGTACACAGTTAACTGATGGATGATTCACCTGTCCCTTAATAATGATGAGTTCTCAAGTCGCTAGCTGAAACCTCTGTTTATACGAAACAAGGCTGCCCAACCGTAGCAACTACCTTGCCATAGTGGTTGAGATTTTTCATCGTGATGACTCAACCCAGCTATATTGACTGAAACATGTTTCTTCAGGTCTTACTATACCAAGTCGGCTTAGGAACAGTAAGGTTCTGTTCGACTAAACGGGGCTAATAACTCGAAAAGATAGTGACACACTCGGTTGCCTTTTTTGTCGCTGCAGCTCAGGCGAAATAAACGACAAATTTTGTGGGGAGCTATTTAACCTCACTCAAAAGGTTAAACGCCCTGATGTAATAATGGTGGGTAATTTTAATGCTCAGGTTGGCAGACTAAACCAAACAGAAAGACACTTAAGCGGGTCATACGGTGTTGTGGCTCAGCGAACAGATAACGGCGACCATTTGTTGCAACTATGCTCAGATAACCATGTGTTTCTAGAAAACGCCAATTTTAAAAATACGTATAGACATCGTCTGATGTGGCGACCTCCACAATCGACTCATTGACGAACTCAGATAGATCACATTGACACTAATCATCGTTGGAGAGGCTTAATAGAAGACTGTCGTTCACTCTGGAAAACATGTTTGAACTCGGATCATGCTCTAGTCCGGACACATATTTGTCTGCATCTTACTGGACGTAGAAGAGCTACAGCAAGAAAAGCCCTTAAAGTTCGACTTAGTAATAAACAAGTTAGGAATATGTTTGAGAAACAACTGGAGGAATTTGTCAACCGTGGGAGTGATATCCACAACACTGGCATCTACCAGTAACTTTTATCAACAGATTGGGAGAAATCAGATTTCTGCGGCGTCTGTGAAACTGATGGATGCTCGTAAACTCACCTCGTCTGTTTCCGAACACTATGAGGACCGGAGGCAGCCTTTACATACGCTCATAGAAAGCATACGTAACAATCTTTGGTGGCGAATAGCAAAAGCAGAAGAGATGGAAAAGACGGGAGCGTTAGGTAATAGTAGGCAATTGTTATTGAGGTTGAGAGAAATATAAGTAATCTGACTCAAGCGGGGCATTAGAGTCTGACGGACTAAAGTCTGAGATTCTTAAGGGTGATGGCCCTTTTTTCTGCAGCCAACTGCAATTTTAGCTAAAATCTGGGGACTAGACGTCATGTCATATGACTGGTCTTCTCAGTCATTAAGAAAGGACAAAAGTTCTCTTTTGATAATCACAGAGGAATCAGTTTAACTAATGTAGTGACTAAAATATTAGCCTCAATAATACTTCAACATCATGAGCTCGTGAAAAAAACCCGAGGAAATTAGTCTGGTTTCAGACCTACACGTGGATGCATAGACCAATATCCACCCTTCGACAGGTTCCAGAACATAGACATGCTTCTCGACGTCCGACCATAGTTGTAGCAGTGTACAACTCTGTTGGTTGTAAGGTTCTTTAACAGTCTCATTGATAGGCATCACAAAGAAGTACAATAACTTTGTACAGGCCCTCTACACGACGCGCGATGCTGGCTAGTGTTGGGGATAGTTGGAAGAAAGTTAGGGGTGGTCAAACCAAAACGTGGCATCAGTGCTTGGAGTCACTAACTCCTGGTCTGAGCTATGTTGGTAGATGCAGGCTACTTGGTTGGGGTCCGCGTGACTATCGTAACCAATGGTTGGAGACTGGGTGACATGGCTCAAAATCGATCACAATGGCGTCGGTACATGCACTCTTTGGCTTCCCTTAAAATATTTTGCTTCATGTACCATATCTTTATATGCAACCTTTCTTTTACATATTACCACCATTGAATTAACTACTTCTATGAATCCGGTGTTCATCTTGCTGTGCTAATGCGGTATGGCAAATTGAACCGATACATATATGTGCCTGGTCCTATGTTATAGCTGAATGACTGACTACTCAAACGGTCAGGTTATGGTCATCGTCGGGCCAGTCCACTTCGTTATAGACACCCTTCTAAAGACATCGCTCATGGTTTGAATCTTCAGGAGTTGGTCTTTTTCTAGGAAAGTCACTTGCTGACTCAGAATACGCAGATGATAGAATTCCGTTTCGTCAAAACAATGCAAACGTGTTTAGGATGCGATTCTCTTTCTAATTTGTAAAATGTTACTTCAGGATTGGTGTCAGGGCCTGAATTAGTGGTAGTGATAGGCATCACAAAGAAGTACAATAACTTTGTACAGGCCCTCTACACGACGCGCGATGCTGGCTAGTGTTGGGGATAGTTGGAAGAAAGTTAGGGGTGGTCAAACCAAAACGTGGCATCAGTGCAAACGTGTTTAGGATGCGATTCTCTTTCTAATTTGTAAAATGTTACTTCAGGATTGGTGTCAGGGCCTGAATTAGTGGTAAAGAGTGGAGTATCGACCGCTTCATTTACATTTGGGAGTCCCATCAGTCCTGATGCCTAACGAAATTTCGGCACGGATTCAGAGGGTTCGACTGACTTTTTCCAACCTGCGTTTTAGGCGAGATATCCGTCTTTTAACCAAAGGACTAGTTTAATGCCCATCAGTTCGCTCCGTTCTAACTTATGGATGTGAAACGTGGCCATTAAAAACAGAAGATATCCACAGGTCACTAGTATCTGGTCAAGGATATCTCCTAGGTTTCGCTCGTATATTTTGAGACCACCGAGTAAGAAATGCTTGGGTTAGGAATAGAGTACTAGGTGAGTATGGCAAATCGGCTGATGAGGTAGTAGTTCCTCATCAACGGAAGTGGTTGGGACATGTAAGTTATGTCTAACCACTGCCTACCTTGACGGGAGATGTTGCGTGTTGAAGGGAAGGTACGGGCAGCCAAACCAAAAGATGGCATCAATCCACGAAGTCATTTAAAACTGGACTGAGCCTTGTTAATAGGTGTAGACTACTTGAATGGGTCCATGCGATTATTGTAACCAATTGTTAGAGACTTTGAATGGTATGGCTTAAAATCGTTTGCAATGGCGCAGGTGCATCGATTATTTGTCTTCCCCCGAATTCTGAGATTCTAAATTCTTCGTAACGCTTTGTTATTTCACTAACACTACAGTTCCGAGATTTGGTCTGGCAATTTCATCACTTAGTGTTAATGGAGTGTTGCAAGTTGAACCGATGTATATACGTAACAGATTTTGCGTTATGTCTAACTGACTGACGCTGATGTACCTAAATCTCAGTATTATTGTTCGAAATGAGGCCGAAACTCAATACCTAATGCTTTGAGCATCTAATCATTATCCAGTAAGCTTGCAACCAAAGAATGTTTAGATAATCACCTTTGAATGAACTTATGCTAATAGATGCCAATTGGTTGCAGTCAAACTATGACGTAGATATCTATCACGTTCAAAAGTAAAATTCTTTTTTTAAATATTAGGTATATTTATATTGATGACGAAGTGAAAGTACTAAGGTTAGTACAGTGGAAGTATTTAACCACATATGGGATTAAAATAGAATTAATACTATCAAAATGCCAGTGGACAGTGATTTATTGCATTGTAAATCGTAAAAACCAACTTTGATGCAATTATTTGCTATTATTTTTAAACAGGCAGTTTATACACTCATAATGGCTGTTTTATGTAAATTAGCTTTTATTTAGGGTTATAAGAATAATAGAAAAATGAAGCTGATACTTTTGCTGAATAGTTATACTCAATTGATAGATAGTGCAAATGACATGGTTTAACGTTATTAATCATATTGAAATGTTTTGAACATATGAACATACAGTACTGCTTGATACCTTCAAGATGTCATTCATTTTGATTGTCCGGCCACCTTATTGCTATACGTAGTCAGTATATACATAACATACAAAAGCATACATGACCTGAGTCATTCAACTGAGTCACTACTAAATCGGAATAGGGGTCTCTAGTATTATGCACTGGATAATTTACTAAGAAACAACTTGCTCAGAACCAAAGCAAATATTGCAGTTGGTCCGATATATGATCAACATTCTTCCGAATTCTGTTGAATTTACTTACAAATTAGGAAAGTACCATATAACCAGTTAATTAACTCAACGTGACAACCAGTTGCTTAAATATTAGACCTATAATTAATGATATTGATTAACCAATTTAAAACATGTTGGAAATAAGTAACTTGTTGGGATCACATCATTAACTTGGTTTGAATTCGATAGCCGTAATCGCCATATGGCAAAGTCTTTTTGGTAGCATGTAGCCTGTTGAAGTATAAACATGTTTAATCCAGACCTTACGATTAGAAAACCAGCGAGCGTTCTCAGAAGTAATATTCTATGTTGCAATAGGACACTAGTTTACACAAGTAACTAGTAGTTGAAGTAAGCAGATAGAATCCCAATATTTCTATGGCGTATATTAAATACATCTGTCACATGCAATAAGTTGCAAACATTATTGCGCAAAATAGAATGAATACATAGAAATAGAGGTATAAACACCAAGTGTTTATGGTATTCAGATTGCATGACGTGAAAAGATGGAAAACGGAGTCAATCCCGAAGTAAACAGTGACAAAAAAGACGGAAAATAAGATTAAAGATCAAAGTGAACTATTTACATATGAGTTTTGAAAATGTTTCAAAAAGTATTGCAGACAAGCACACCAGACTAAAAAACACGCTCATAATACGAATTGTCATCTGGTATAGGTGGACGACGATTAGGATGCATGATGCCCGGCCCATTAAGATAATTCATTTGCTGCCCAGGCCCAACAACTGGACCACGTACAATTCCTGGACGATTTGCTCCTTGTAACATACGACCACGAGCGTTATTTGACGACAAGAATTCCAGATAAGATGTCCCGGATTTGGAAAAGATCGCAGGTCACCTACTGGAGGATCTTCATAAAAATAGTCATGTGAAAGCGCCTGCTCAGCATCAAGACGTTTGCTGGGATCTAAGACAAGTAATTGGTCAATGAGATCTACAGCAGCAAGCGAAGAAATTTTGGGGTCAATTTCTCTCGAACATGTCGTTTAATGTCCTGAGGTAGACGAGCTTCTCTAAATGTTTCCAAACGTTCTACACCTGGCCATATTTCAGGTGTTATAGATCCGCAGAGATTAATGATAAGGTTCAACTGACTAATCTCGTTGTCCCCCTAGAAAAATGCAATATCAACAAATTTGATTGTGAAGAAATCCAGAGACCTTTTGCCAATACGATTCTTTATATTAACTGGACCAAAAGAATTACCAGTCATACAGTAGAAATAACCATTCATTTATTTTAACACATAGATATTGGTACAAAGAGGCACCAAATACATATGCGCCAAACAAATCTCATTCGATATGTGTGAGGGCTGTGATACTGCCCGGGTACCTAAACCGAAGCAGGTGGTTTTCTTAGGGGGCCACACCCCGAGCCTTCGACCCGAAGGTCTGGTCCACAAGGTAATGGAGCATCGTAAGGAGATGCAGTCCCATGGAAGCCGGTGACCAACGATTGGTTCATACGCCATTTGTTCCCTCAGGATACTGGAGCCCATGTGCACCGTTGGTTTGGAATTCGGTTAAAGCGCCAGATATTCGCTTTTCGTTCTCTCATTTTCGCAAACAACACCCCCGCCACGAGAAGGCAATGAGTAGGACTTCCCTGGCAGAGGCTATATACGCGTGGCCATGTGAGAGCATTTCGAGAGGGAGAGCGGACTCTCCCACTCTCGGCCGTACCATTATTTAGAAGAAATGAAAGTAGGAAGGGAAACTAACAGTTTATCTAACACTGCACTACATGGTTGATGACTGAATTCGATGTATGTATCACTTCAGTAACTGTGATCTAAGTACATTAGTTCATCTATCATTGAATTGAGTCAGTCTACCAAAGTATAGATTTACACGATTGGTTCGTTAATTTTAAATTACACACGGATTTCTATTATTGTTCTTTTACAGTCGTTTTACCATACTTTAAGTTCCAACCAAATACATCAAAAATACTTGTTATCAAAACCCTGTCGACTTAATACTTGTTGCACGGATCTAAAGTATGCAGATAGACTTCATAGACTGAAGAAAAATCTGGAGGCGATTTTAATAAATGATCACAATACAACCTATCGACTCCGAAAAAATTCCTAAATTTTCACTAGAATTATAAATGTTGCATTCATTACCTCCGTCTCTCCAAGGGTCGCGTTACTGATGGTTTTTCAAATAAAACTAATAAGATTCATTTAACCGTTAAACTATTCGATTACATACTTTATGTTCACCCTTGAGTCATATAAGATTACTTCCAAGTTTGTATTGTTAACTTCATCCAAACCTTTCCAATATCCAATCTTAACGCGATGTTATCCGTGAAATCAGAAAATTTCCAGTGGGACCTTTTCGTAGGACGATCAACACAAAATAAAATCTAAGCCGATAATTATTGTATTAACAATGAAGCGAAGTAAGAAAAAATGTAAACTGCTGGTGTCCACCATTATTATCACCTTCACCTCGATCAGTTTGTACAAAATGAAGTTCTCGATTTTGTTATTTCTCCTGTTTGACGAACTTTATTGATGAAGTGTCATTTTTAGCGCGACTTGGGAAACAGACAAAAACCCATCTTTAAGGAGAACTTTAGAAATCATAACTTACTTATCAAGCACAAATTTGTGCGTTCGAACTTGAGTCATGGGTTATGTGTGAGGGCCAATGATACTAACCCAATGTTCAAACTGAAGTAGTTTTGAGAGTTGGTTTTGAACCCGTAACTTACTGAACAACCGTTGAATTCCTCAACCGAATCGTAGATCTGCGAAATCTTAATACAATTTAAGTATTAACCCAACTCCTAATCACTTGAATTTAATTATTTTCTGATCACGTAATAAATTACATTGACGATTTTTGTTAAACCGATCTACAGTATTATGACTGACAATCACTTTTCGAAGCTTATTATCGTGAAGATACGACTAAGCTGTATTGGGACGTCACCTTCACAAGCTGAAGTGAGCGACACAATTAAATATCAACATCTATGTGAAAGATAATTCGCCTACACTAGAAACATTTATGACTCAGATAATAGATAAGTTGGTTTTCCTAAAGTAAAGTAATTAAGTGGTAGATTGTTAGTGTCGTTTCGTACGAAATGGAAGCCATAGTACATTATGTTACTTGCAATGACTATCAATTATGACATATTTTACGAATACGAAAACTGGGGTTTCATTTACTAAAATAGTTCAACGAGTATTATTTGTATTGTATGGAATCAAACGAGAAAATTGCATTATTCATTTGACATAATTTAAGTTACCTGCATAATAGGATACTTTGTCCATAATTCAGCCATAATACAACCAGCACCCCACATATCTACAGGCTTTCCATAATGGCGGTCATTTAGGAGAATTTCAGGAGGTCGATACCACAAAGTAACAACTCGTCCAGTATAACGTGTTGGGCGATCAGGACGAAGAGAGGCAACAGTTGTTCGAGCCAGACCAAAATCTGCTATTTTAAGAATGCCGTTTTTATCAATCAAAATGTTCGCAGCTTTTAAATCCCGGTGGAGAACATTGTTTCTGGAACGAAAGAAATTCTATGTGTTCATGAAGACCACATTAATACAAATTATGTAAACAGGCGTATACGGAAATGTTTGACCAGAGAGGATACAAACGAAACCACAACGTTGTGCAGTATATGATTGGAGATCGAACAACTGCCAACAACTAAACATACATAATTAAATAGTTCAACAATTATCAAGTGCTGACCAAACCCAAAAACCTTTCTACCTACAAATACACTTCAATATTATCTTATAAACAATAAATCGCCTTTAGGTAGAAAATACACATACAGAAAAGAAGACGAAAGAATCTTGAGGGAAACTTACTTATACCTTAGCATAAAAACAAAGTAAATAGTTGGACACAAACTACCAACTAACACTTGGTATTGACACAAATATACCGTCCTAATACATAAAAAATTACTGAATATAAAGGTTAAGATAGACTTACTTTGCCACCTGGTACGTACTTACTTACTCCTGTTACTCCTAACGGAGCATAGGCAGCCGACCAGCAATCTCCAACCCACTCTGTCCTGGGCCTTCTTTTCTAATTTCATCCAATTCTTGTTCATTTTTCTCATGTCTATCTCCATTTCCCGGCGTAATGTGTTCTTTGGACTTCCTCTTTCCCTTTGGCCTTGAGGATTCCATGTGAGGGCTTGCCTTGTAGCGCAGTTGGGTGCTTTTCTCAATGTATGTCTTATCCACTTCCAGCGCCTCTTCCAGATTTCCTCTGCTGGGATCTGGTTTGTTCTCTCCCACAGCAAGTTGTTGCTAATGGTGTCCGGCAGACGGATCTGAAGTATTTTGCGTAGACAACTGTTAATAAACATCTGTATTTTCTGGATGATGGCTTTCGTAGTTCTCCAAGTTTCCGCCCCATACAGTAGAACTGTCTCGACATTTGTATTGAAAATCCTGATCTTGGTGTTGGTTGAGTTGCTTTGAGTTCCAGATGTTCTTCAATCGTAAATATGCTGCTCTTGCTTTACCGATCCGCGCATTCACATCTGCATCAGACCCACCGCGTTCATCAATGATGCTGCCAAAATATATAAAGATTTTAACATCTTCCAAATCTTCTAAGTCAACTCCGCCTGTAGCTGTTCTAGAGTTACTGCCGGTCCCAAGCCCGGGTAAAGGAGGAGGGTTGGGCATGGGGTTAGCGTCCCCATCCCGTAGAAAACTAACTCGCTAAAAAAACGCTTACCAGAAAAAATAATTCAAACCATTTAAACTCTGCCCTGGGAGTTAGAAGGTCTTCAGTTAGAAGAATTATGACGCTTCATGGTGAAAGCCGAGTTCCTTCGGAAGCCACGAGGCCGATGCCCCTTCTAACAACCAGAGCAAAAATTTTTATAGGTACATGGAACGTTCGAACAATGTGGGAAACCGGGAAGACCAGTCAAATAGCAATGGAAATGAGGAGATACAACTTAGCAGTACTGGGAATCAGCGAAACCCACTGGACCCAAGCTGGACAGAAAAGGCTAGCTACGGGAGAGATGCTGCTATACTCCGGTCACGAGGAGGACAATGCTCCACACACTCAGGGAGTCGCTCTTATGCTGTCCAAAGTAGCACGAAATGCACTTGTAGGATGGGAGTCTCACGGATCCAGAATCATCAAAGCATCATTCAAAACAAAGAAGGAGGGGATCTTAATGAATATTATCCAATGTTATGCACCCACCAATGATAGCAACGACGACATTAAAGATCAGTTCTACGAGCGGCTGCAGTCAATCATTGAGAAATGCCAAGAAAGGACCTAACTATTCTGATGGGAGATCTAAATGCCAAAGTCGGAATAGACAACACTGGATATGAAGATATCATGGGACGACATGGACTGGGAAAGAAACGAAAATGGAGAAAGATTTGCAAATCTATGTGCATTCAACAAATTGGTCATAGGAGGCACAATATTTCCACACAAGCGTATACACAAGGCTACATGGATCTCACCGGACCACACTACAGAGAACCAAATAGATCATATTTGCATCAACAAAAAATTCCGAAGGACAATGGAAGATGTGAGAACCAGGAGAGGTGCTGACGTAGCTTCAGATCACCACCTAGTTGTAGCCAATTTAAAACTGAAGCTAAAAAGGAACTGGACAAGTGGACAAACAGCACTACAAAGGTTCAATACAGCCTTCCTTCGAGATACTGACAAACTCAATGAATTCAAGATAGCTCTCAACAACAGGTTCCAAGCCTTACAAGATCTACTGAAGAAGAAGAAACTACTATGGAGGACAACTGGAAAGGCATCAAGGAAGCATTAACTTCAACGTGTCAAGAGGTTCTGGGCCTAAAGAAACACCATCATAAGGAATGGATCTCTATAGAAACACTGGACAAGATCAAAGAAAGGAAGAACAAGAAGGCAGCAATTAACAACAGCCGAACACGAGCAGAGAAAGTCCAAGCACAAGCTGAATACATAGAAGCAAACAAACAAGTGAAGAGGAGCATTAGAGCCGACAAGAAGAAATACGTGGAAGAACTAGCAACGACGGCAGAAAAAGCTGCTAGAGAAGGAAATATGAAACAGCTTCACGATACAACGAAGAAACTAGCAGGGAAATACAGTAAACCAGAGAGGCCGGTCAAAGACAAAGAAGGCAAGCCAATCACCGAAATTCAACAACAGCGTAACAGATGGGTAGAATACTTCGAGGAACTCCTGAATAGGCCGGCTCCAATGAATCCACCGGACATCGAAGCAGCACACATAGATCTTCCTATAGATGTCAACCCACCAACGACGGAAGAAATTAGAATGGCCGTCAGACAAATCAAGAACGGGAAAGCAGCAGGACCCGACAACATACCAGCTGAAGCACTGAAATCAGACATCGAAGCAACCACAAGCATGCTTTACCTTCTATTCAAAAAGATTTGGGAGGAGGAACAAGTGCCGATGGACTAGAAAGAAGGCATTTGACAGTGTAGATAGGAGGACATTATGGAAACTTCTTCGACACTACGGAGTTCATGAGAAGATTGTCAATATCATCCGCGACTCATACGACGGACTACAGTGCAAGGTCGTGCATGGAGGACAGCTGATAGATGCATTCCAAGTAAGGACCGGAGTCAGACAAGGCTATTTACTCTCCCCCTTTCTCTTTCTTCTGGTGGTCAACTGGATTATGAGGACCTTGACATCTGAGAGAAAACACGGAATACAATGGACAGCTCAGATTCAACTAGACGATTTGGACTTCGCAGATGACCTAGCCCTCCTATCGCGTACACACGAACAGATGCAGACAAAGACAGCCAATGTAGCAACAGTCTCTGCATCAGCAGGCTGCAGTATACACAAAGGGAAAACCAAGGTCCTCAAATTCAAAGAGGAGAACAGCAATCTAATTACTCTCGATGGCGAAACTCTGGAAGATGTAGAATCCTTCACATACCTGGGAAGCATCATCGATGAACAAGGAGGATCAGATGCAGATGTAAAGGCAAGGATTGGCAAAGCAAGAGTCGCATTCCTTCAGTTGAAGAATATATGGAACTCAAAACAACTTTCAACCAATATGAAAGTGAGAATCTTCAATACGAACGTCAAGGCAGTTCTACTGTATGGAGCTGAAACTTGGAGAACTACAACAACCACAATCAAGAAAGTACAAGTATTTATAAATAGCTGTCTACGCAAGATACTCAACATCCATTGGCCGGATAACATCAGCAATAGCCTTCTGTGGGAGAGAACAAACCAACTTCCAGCTGAAGAAGAAATTAGGAAAAGACGATGGAAATGGATAGGACATACATTACGCAAATCATCAAACTGCATCACGAGACAAGCCCTAACTTGGAATCCTGAAGGGAAGCGAAAAAGAGGAAGGCCAAAGAACACATTACGTAGGATAATAGAAGCAGATATGAAAAGGATGAATTACAACTGGAAGGAACTGGAAAGGATTGCCCAGGACAGGGTTGGATGGAGAATGCTGGTGAGCGGCCTATATTCCTTCACGAGGAGTAACAGGCGTAAGTAAGTAAGAATCTTCTCAGTCAATTGTGACTGGATTGGGGCATGCCGTGTTGTATCAGAGAATCTTTCCTTTCCCTTTGTGTATATTGAGAGCTACTGCTACTACATTGGTCGTCTCCTGCATTTGTTGTTACAATTGCGATAGGAGGGCCAGATCATCTGCGAAACCTAGATCGTCCAGCTGCATCCTAGATGTCCGCTGTATCTCATGCTTTTCCCCAGATGTTGACGTCTTAATGATCCAGTCGATCACCAGGAGAAAGAGAAAGGGTGAGAGTAAGCAACCTTGCCTGACACCGGTCTTTACCTCGATCGAGTCTGTCAATTGTCCTCCATGCACAATTTTGCAGTTTAATCCATCATAGGAATTCCGTATGATATTGACTATCTTCTGAGGCACGTCGTAGTATCGAAGAAGCTTCCATAGTATTGTTCTGTCCACGCTATCAAATGCCTTTTCGTAGTCAATGAAGTTGATGTAGAGTGATGAATTCCATTCAATTGATTGTTCCACAATGATCGGTAGAGTTGCGATTTGGTCTGTACACGATCTATCCTTACGGAATCATGCCTGTTTGTCTCGAAGTTGGGCGTCTATGCAGTCCTTCATTCTGTTTAACAATACCCTGTTGAAGACTTTTCCCGGTATTGAGAGAAGAGTGATGCCCCTGTAGTTATCACAGTTGCTGAGATCGCCTTTCTTTGGTATTTTGACCAGAAGTCCTTTCCAGTCTGTTGGTACTTGTTCCTCATCCCAAATCTTATTGAAGAGAATGTGGAGTATCCTTGCAGTTACCGCTACGTCTGTTTTTAGTGCTTCTGCTGGAATGTTGTCTGGTCCTGCTGCTTTGCCACACTTGATTTGTCTGATGGCCATGCTGATTTCTTCAATTGTTGGTGGGCCAACATTGATTGGGAAGTCCGTGAGTGCTGCTTCGATATTGGGTGGATTCGGTGGGGCTGGTCGATTCAAGAGTCTTCTTAATTGTCCTACCCACCTGTTTTGTTGTTCTTCAATGTTGGTGATTACCTTGTCTTCCTGGTACGTGGAGGAATTTTATTTAATGAACCAACTACACAACCATTGCATAAAAAATTGGGAGGTTCACTAAGAAATAACATAATGTACCATATATCTAATTCATCTTCTGATAACATTACTTGCTAGCTATGATAACCTAATACACTGAAAAGCTGAGTTAATGCAAAAACTTCACTTGAACTTTTTTAGAATTATTATTCTAGCTTTAATGAAGATTTATCTGGCGAAATGTTTACTCATTAGTCTTTGAGAAAGCCAAGTGAACTTAATAATCCATGCTGAGATCTCATTAGAAACTAACCTACTTCAGTTGATGGGACTACCTAGTGGAGTGAACACGCGCAACCACTTTGTTCTTTGGTATCGATCTAAGAGTCTACCTAAACCGATTCTGAAGCTGTATTTTGGATGTGGATGGAAAAGACGTATCCCAAAAATGTTTGCATTTGTGACACAAATTAGTCTGATACACTCAGCTTTGAGTTAAACTATGGACTGGAAATACTGCTAGACTGTTAAATCTGACTAAACAATAAGCTTCTGTCCTCCTACCTTTGGGTTAGTCAGTTCGTCTCGTCGCTAAACCTAGAATATAAACCCGTTTGTTAACGGGTTACTAATAACGGGATCGAACATTGTAAGATTTTGGGTGACACATAGTAAGAGTGAGGTTAAGTGCTCTTATAGCATGAATCTTGACATATCCTTAACCATCGAAGACACGAAAAATGGAATATTACTTAAGATAGCATAGCGAAAAATAAGGGTCCCAACAAACTTACAGATGCAAGTAGAAAACGCCAGTAAGTAGTTGTTTCATTATTGCTTTTTTGACTGGTTCAGTGAAATCAATCTGCTGACTTAAACCAGCAAGATCATGATCACAAAACTCAAAAACAAGATAGAATTGTGGTTTGAATCCATTACCAGCATTCGCTGAGAATAGTGTGAGGTAGAAATAGGCTTACGTGGACTGTGGCATATTTCCTTTAGACACACAATATTTTCATGATTGAGGGATTGTAATATGCGTATTTCTCGTAACGCAGTAATAGGAAACTTTAAAATTGGTATGTTAAAAGTGCTACATACTCCTTCTTTTTCTTGTTCCATCCGAATTCGTTTCAGTGCAAAATGCTGTTTTGTCGATTTATGCCGCACCTTAAAAACCTCCCCAAACGTACCCTGCCCGATTTTCTGTAGTCGCACGTATTGATCGACTGGCTTGGTCTTTGATATCCCTTCTAGCTCTCTCTCTGCCATTGTGAAAAACTTTGTGTAGTCTGCTTGAAGATCTGACAGCAGCTCCGCTCGATAGCTGTCATCTTGAAGCAGAGCCATGAGATGGTTCCGAAAATACTTGATTTACCACTAGCCTTCAATGTTTCAATCAACAAAAAGTTGCTCAATGCCCAATAACTTCATTCTGATTCTAAGCTTTCTGATTTTGGGATAGAAAGACGAGGGTCTGTATTTTTCGCCTTCAATCGCGTGACTGTATTTGTTTAACTTTGTCCTAGACAGTTGAGCAAAATAATGGTGTGTTTTGATCTGTCATCAGAATTAGTAGTTATGTGAAGATCTGACCTCTACTTGAAGATGAGAGGAAGAGATGAGGAGAATAGAAGTCTTGTTAAGGTATCTTGTCACTCACGCCTGAATGCTAAAGGCAAAGCACTGATTGTAAACAATTTGGTATTGATTTCCTAGCATTCTGACTACTCACCCCAGTCGCCCTATTTTGGAAAAAAAACTAAAATTTGTGGTACTCAGTTTTCTGGACAAACAGGTAATAATCAGCCCACTGCATAACCCTTTCAAGATGAAGTCACAACTATTAATAGTAATTTTTATTGTGGTCAAGGACTTCAGTCAACATTACATAACCGATGTTTACGTTTCCTTTTACTATGTCAAACAGACACTGGACGAAGAAGCATCGGCTTTACACCTCCTTTCAAAACATCTCACGCCATGCAGTTGAGTTGTTTGTGCTGTCTACGACATCGATTACTGATTCTGTCCAGCCTGATTACAGCTAATTGTCTCTTTTAGACTAATAATTTAGAGTGTAATGAAAGGTATAAAAGATGGGTTACAGCCAATAGCTTGTCAAATTTGCTGGGCTACCCTCAATCAACCTTTTGCAGAAGGTTGAGGAAGTTGAGATCTGATCTTGAGAAAAAGTATCAGATAGTGCCCACTGAAAATGTGGACTACAATTCAGTTAATGACACCTCAACAGAGTGATGCAGCAGTATTGTCCCAGACTCGGCCACCGCCTCATGTGGTTACATTCATTGTACGCGGGGTGCAGCAAGTGTTTTAGTCTGGGTTTCCTTATTGACAAATTGTGGATGTCTCCACTTGTTCATCTTTCAATGAAGCAACAGCTAGACAGAGATAATTAAGTAAGTGTGGATGCCAATCTAAAGAAGGGGGTGAGCTAAATGCGCTTCAAACTGGTAATTAAATACTGATTTCCGTTTTTATATTAGTTTCCGATAAAATGTATACTTTATTACATATTTCTTGTTTATGTTGTTTTCAGCTAGTAAAGTATTGGGGTTTGGTCACAGGGGGTAGATGGGTTTGTGGGGTCAGTGAAATGTCACTGAGCCTTAGCCAAACCATTCGGACGTTGGGTCACTGAATATCGAAAGACTCATCATTCCTCGTCAAGGTCAAGGGCAACCAAAGTGCAGCAGTTGATCGTAGGCCATGGACTGGCCCATGCGGCGGTGGTCTTACTTTCGATTTTATCTACCTTAAGTAATGCATTTCTGTAATGACTTCCTCTGTGTTATACGACCTTCAAAGCAGCCATATTACTTTGATGCGTCGAAGGGGTAATCCACACTAGATGCTGACAGCGAGACGTGACTTTGAAGTTAGCTGTTTCGTCACATCATTCCCGTCTAACTCGAGTAGGCCTCCAATCACTCGATATAGGTCATCTACCATGTTGAACTACAAGTTTCCCAAAGTTGTCGAACATTCTGTAGAAATATTGGGGAAAAAGGCGAAGTTTGGAGGAAGGGTACCCTTGAGAAGATCACACCAAACATTCACGTCAACAGGGTAATGACTGCTCGGCGAAGCTGTGATTTGGAAGTCTTCTATGATAGTGACGGAACCGCTTTTTGAAGATTTTATACTTATTGAGTTTATTTTAAATGGATTTGGAAAAGATAGTTTGATATGGGAGTAGGTTAGCTTTTTCCAATGAGGTACAGGGCGATACATCGATAATTTACAATGAATGACTGATGAAAAAGGGGCTCGTCCGCCTAGTTTTCGTGAGGTAGGTTAAGCTGATGTTTTAACTGAGATGAATCATTTATTTGATTAATAAATATCAAACCTCGATTTCCTACCACTGTTTGAAGAGGAAGGATTATAGATGGGATTACTGAGTCTTGCTGGATAAGAGTTTCGACTCTACTAGTGTCCTGATACAGGCGAAAATTCGTTGAGGAATGTTTGTAGAGCCGTAGACATGCTGTTTCTCATCAAATAGTTCAGTTTTCATCACCTGTGGTCATACAATAGATAGAACTGAGCTGTTCAGGTTCTAAAATCCTTCTCTACTCTTTAGAACATTCCCGAACTGCCTTATTGTTCATGGGGGACCATTTGAAGGTCCACATGCGCTGGTAGACCCAATAAAATACCACTGAATCCTTGATGCATTATCCGCCAAGCTCAATGTATCTCTGCCTTGGAAGAATGATAACTGGATCTTGAATTGTGACCATCCAGAACTGAAGAATCGATGACGCGGAATAGACATTCAGCAGATGAGTCCCCTCTTTGATCTCAAATAACGTTTCGTCTTCGTGGTATTTTACATGTCCCTTAACGATATTTAGTAACTCAGGATGATCCGATTTCTAAAGTGGCGGGGTGCTATGCTAGGAACTCATTGAGTCGCAAGACAATGATGTAAGTCTACATAAATTAAGCGATCGCACCACAGCAACACTAGTCCGATGGATAGAGACTATGAACTGAATAGTACGAGTAAGCTTGTTAAACCAGAGATAGTCCAAGATCCACAGGATTACCCCTATCGTAAAGTACATTTTCAAACTGAAACAGTTTGTTTTTCATTATGCGATTCACCCCTTAAGGTTTAAAAGTTTTTTGTAAATCATTTGAGTAGGGTGCAATATTACAATGCTTTATTATTATATCCAAGAAATGTTTCAACATTTCGAGCACCTATTCTGAAATAAAACCTTATTGTTTAATTTCCTTGAGTGAATGAGTTAGTTGTTTTTCAATCTTGTCTGCTACGTCATTTTTCACAGCCAGTTTCTGAAATTTGCTTTTATCACTGAGAAGAGCTTTAAGAAAACAGTCGATTAGAAAACTGAAAACTAATGACAATTTATTAATCACGAAACCTGACAAAGGACATGGGATAGTACTCATGGATAAAAATGACTACATAAACAAAATGAAAGCCCTTCTAAATGATAAAAGCAAATTTCAGAAACTGGCTGTGAAAAATGACGTAGCAGACAAGATTGAAAAACAACTAACTCATTCACTCAAGGAAATTAAACAATAAGGTTTTATTTCGGAAAAGGTGATCGAAATGTTGAAACCTAGAGGAACAATTACACCAAGACTATATGGCCTACCAGAAATACACAAAAGTGGCTTGCCCCTTCGACCAGTATTAGATATGAATAACTCAGCGTATCATACTTCAGCAAAATGGTTGGTGCAAATTCTTCAATCATTACACAAAGAAATTGTCAGACATGGTGTCAAAGATTCCTTTGAATTTGTTGAGAACATAAAAAATCTATCAGTCAAGAATAAATTCATGATATCACTTGATGTATCATCATTATTCACCAATATTCCACTACTCGAAACGGTTGATTTTATTTGCAATGAACTAACGACGAGACGCATAGAAGTCCCAATTCCCGCATCCGCGATAAAACAGTTAATTATTAGATGCACTAGGAATGTCCAATTCCGATTTGACAACGAATACTATAGAAAACTACATGGAGTCGCCATGGAATCACCATTGGGCCCTCTACTGGCTAATATTTTCCTTGCAAAACTAGAAAATGGACCACTTTAAAGTACAATTACCCATTTACCAACTTATTATCGCTATATAGATGATACTTTCATAGTATTAGAAAAAGAAAATGATAAGCACAATTTACTTAATATATTTAATAACGTTCATCCATCAATTAAATTTACATCAGAAGATGAACAGAATAATAGCATATCTTTTCTACACTTCTAACTAACTAGAACAGACGGAACTATAAAAAGAAGGGTACACAAAAAGTCAGCAGCAGGTCAATACATTCATTTCCACAGTGCAGTTCCAATCAGATACAAAAGGAACTTGATAAAGATCTTGACACATCGTGCTAGAATGATCTGCTCTGAAGACACCACTGAAGAAGAATTGAACAATGTTCAGAACCTACTCAGTCTGAATGGGTACCCCATGAAATTCATCGACAAACATATGACGGAGAAAACAAGGACAAGATACCCATCGTCCCCAAGAAGGTATTATTCATAAAACTACAATTCATAAATGACACCATTGAAGAAGTCATGACTCTGAAGAGCTGTGCAAAAAACATTTAATGCTGCAAAATTAAATGTCATCTTCTACAACCACCCGAAAATAAGAACATCCATTAAAGACAGACTGCCGGAATTCGCCAAATCTATGTGTATCTATCGTTTCAACTGCTCCTGTGGAGCCAGTTACACAGGGCGTACAATTCGGTAGGTCCGTCACAGAACATCACCCGACATGGCTAGGCAAAGAACAGGTGTATAAATCACCAACGTAGATGATCTATGTCGAAATGATTGGATGTCTACCCGAGTTAGACGTGAAGGATGTGACAAAATAGCTAATGTCGAAGTCACACCTCATGGTCAGCACCTTACGTGGACTGCCCCACTGACGTATCAGGGTACCATAGATGCTTCGAAGACTGTACAACACAGAGGACGTTATTACAGAAGTATATTAGTTAAAGTGGATACAATCGAAATTAAGATCACTGCCGCACGGGCCAGTCCATGGCATACGATTAACCGACGCGCGTTAGTTGTCCTTGACCTTGAGAGGATCGATGATTTGCTCGATATTCAATGACCCAACTGCCGGACGATTTGACTAGGGCTTAGTGACATTTCTCTGGCCCTACAGGTGAAAGTGATTAAAAGTTCTATTCTCTCTCACTTGGTTGACACAGGTCATCAAGTCGAATTGAATAAAGCTTCTAAGGTTATCTACAATATTCCATCAAACCTATCACATGGTTTACAAGTGCGCC